CAGGCCTCATTTTAAGTCTCTCTTCAAAGATTTTCTTGACTAGACCATCTAAAGTGTCAATGACTCCCCTCTGCCCCATTATTCTTTTTTCTTTTTCTTTTTTTTTTCTTTTCTTTTTTTTTTTTTTTTTTGCAACAGAGTCTCACTACAACCTCTGACTCCCGGGTTCAAGCGATTCTCCTGCCTCAGCCTCTCAAGTAGCTGGGATAACAGGCACATGCCACCAAGGCCAGCTAATTTTTAGTAGAAACAGGATTTCACCATGTTGGCCAAGATGGTCTCAATCTCCTGACCTCGTGATCTGCCCGCCTCGGCCTCCCAAAGTGCTGGGATTACAGGCGTGAGATAATGCGCCCAGCCTGCCCCATTATTCTTTATCTCTGAAGCCCACTTGTGTCCTTCCTCCATATACTTACATTTACCCCAAGACACAGGTACAGATGGATATTTGATTACTGCCCGGTAATAACACACACTCATTACATATTAGATGAATGAATGGGTAAATAAATAAAAGATTACAGGAATGATTATCCGGGAGGTTTCAAGAACAAAATAAATTGTTTGCCTTGGATGTTTTAGACCAGTAATGAGATCCCTAAATTTGATCTGAGGAGGAACAATTTTTAATTCTCCAGCCTTATGATTGCCAGTGGGGGCGAGGAGGGAAAGAGGGAGACAGGTAAGGGAGGGGTTGATGGGGTCATGAGAGATGTGACTGTGGATCCCCCTCTTCTGAGGGAAAGATCAAGCCATTGCTTAGAGATTAGCCAGAAAAGAGTCCAAGATATCCTGAAGGGGCCACTTTATCTGCCAGGAGCAATGTGGGTTTCTGAAGCTGATAGCTTCAGGGTCAGGTGAGAGATGGGGGAAGCAGGGTGTCTTACTCTTAATTCCTGATGCACTATTACCAGTGAATTTTTTCTCACTTCTCTTTTTCTACCACTTTCTCTGGGGAATTGTTAATTCCTGGGGAGCAGTGTGAGGTTTAAGCCATTGAAGCCTGTATGGAAACACCCACTCATTTGCAAATTGGCAAACAGAGCCTCCCACAAAGTAGAAGAAGGCTTGATTCAGAGCTTTAAGGAAACAATGGAGTTCATTTAACATTTAATGAACTCAAAATACAGTACTCTAAAAAATCAGTCAATAAAGCAGCTTTTTAATCTTTAATGCAGGCTTGCTAGCATTATGTCTGATGTTTTATCTGTTACATCAATATGAGTTTATTGGTGGTGTTTATCATATGATTCATTGCCTGTATGATTTCTTGGCTGTGAATGAAAATAGTGATTGGAATTTTGCAAATGGAAACCCTTTTGTGTCTGGCCACAGCTTTCACAAATCATCCAGGGCCTTCGAATAGAATTAAGTAGCTTCCATTGCTAGGCAATTCACAAAAGAAAGATACAGGACAGACAAGTTCATCTTTCAGATAAGTCTGCCATAAAATTCCCTTTCTTGGGCTCTCATTCAAGGTCCTGCAAATGTTAAGATCTTCCATTCCGTTTAATTTCTGTGTTTTCAAAGAAATAGCAAACTTCAGTGTGCATCTCAGTGGGAGACTTTGCTTTTGGATTCCATCTCCCAGTGGCACCCCTCCCACTCCATCTTCATCTGAGGGAGAGAGAGTGTTGGAAAGCAGAGGAGGGATGGGCTGGGGCATTGGTGTGGGGGATGGGGGCTACTTAGCAGAAAAAAATAGGAGCCTCCTGCCTTTCATCAGAGCAAGAATCAAATACTGTTTGTCCCGAGTACATTTTGTCCCATTCTGTTTCTTATGCAAATTAAACATCCAGAGACCAGCCTGCCACAAAAGTTAAATCTGCTTCCCAATTTCACTCATCTTGTTCTTGAAAGGAGTATCATGTACCTGATGGTTAGCTGGATTCCCACTCCAAGAAATTGTAGGCGACAGCTCTTTCTCTGTCCCAGGATCTCATTGCTATCAGACTTCTCTAGAAATCAAAAGCACCTGCTCTTTTATTAAGGTGGCCTTCTAAAGAGAGAAATATTACCATTAGAAAACACTCAGAGTTCACATGAGAACACTACGGACATGTCCTTCCAGCCTGAGGATACCAACCTCAAATGAATACCCTTTAGGGCAGCAAGTCTTCATAGAGTACTTACTGTGTCCAGGCACCGTGCCGAGCAATTTGCATGCCTTATTTCATTCTATCTTTGCAAAAGTCATAGGTGATGAGAAGCCCCATTTTACAGATTTGAAAACTGTAGGCTTAGAATGGTCAAGTTACAAACCCAAGAGAACACCATTGGAAATGTGACAGAGCCATGACCTCTAATTTCAGAACCTGTGATCTTAGTTACATCTGATGTAATCCAGGGCTGATGACAATAATGTATGTTATCTAGGGGTGACCTATTCCTACTAGCCTTTCCTCTTTGGATTTGTCAAGTAGAGCTGAGCATAGAAACAAAAGGCTTTCCTGGTACTTTGCCCTGATCAGGGAAAATAAGCCATGTCTATGCTAGTAGATATACATCTCATTTAATATTCTGAGTAACACTGTGTCATAGATATTAGTATATCCTTTCAGGACAGGAGGAAACTAAAACTCCCAGAAGCTAAATAAATCTGCCCAACAACACACAACTGGTAATGACCGAGGTGGGTTTTGGATTCCAGGCAGACAGCAGAGTCCAACTGCCCAGGCTTCTCCTATCACATCTCACAGTATCTTGCTAGCACCCATCAGACAGTTCTGCTGGGAGAGTAGAAAGACGTCTATATCCACTGCAATCCTGTCCATGAGTGACCCCTTCCCTGCTAAGTCAGAGATAAGATGACACTGTTGACCTGCCTGGGCCAAAGTTGGTTGAAAAGAGATGTATCTGTAGAATCCTCTTGAAACGGGAACAAGTACTCCAACCCACGTTAAAAGGCAATACTGAGGCCGGATACAGTGGCTCACGTGTATCATCCCAGCACTTTGGGAAGCTGAGGCGGGCAGATCCCTTGAGCTCAGGAGTTCGAGACCAGCCTGGCCAACATGATGAAACCCCATCTCTACCAAAACTACAAAAATTAGCCAGGTGTGGTGGTGTGTGCCTGTAATCCCAGCTACTCTGGAAGTTGAGCCAGGAGAATCACTTGAACCTGGGAAGGAGAGGTTGCTGTGAACTGAGATCACACCACTGCACTCCAGCCCGGGTGACAGAGTGAGACTCAGTCCGAATTTTAAAAAATAAACAAATAACAAGCAATACTGAATTGCCAGTGATGAATAATCATTTATGTCACATCGAAGCCCTTCCTTATACAGTTGGGCTGTTGCACTCTTCTGTGGCTTGACTTACCTGCCAAGCATTCTGATCATGCATTTTTCCTCCCCTCCATCTCACAGTTCCATCTCTGCACTCTCCTCCCATCGTTCCTCAGGGAACAAAACTACCTGAAGTGCATGCATCTTCCCAGGGCCTGGTCCAGTATACCACAGGGGCTCAATAAATGTTTACTAAAAAAGAGGGAGAAAGAAACATAGAGAGTCAGTGCTAAGCTCCAGGAAAGAGGAACTCAGAAAATTCACATATATTTTCGAGATTCAAGTGTCTTTTTTTTTTTTGAGACAGGGTCTTGCTCTGTTACCCAGGCTGGAGAGCAGTGGTGCAATCTTGGCTCATTGCAACCTCTGCCTCCTGGGTGCAAGTGATTCTCCTGCCTCAGCCTCCCAAGTAGCTGGGACTGCAGGCACATACCACCACGCCTAGCTAATAAACTGTCTTTTTTCTGCTCAGAACTGAACTATAGAGAACAGTAGAAACATGCCAGTGTTTCCAGGCCACAATAAACTTGGTCCTACTGTTTAAAAAAATTCTTTTAATATATTCTTTATCTTCTCTCTTTCAGCCCATTTGTTCATCATCTATAAAATATTTTTCATATGTCTTAGACAGTATAGATCTGCCTCCTGTTACATGAATCATAAATCTACAATGAGTCACTTTGAGGTGCATCATCTAAGGAAAGGAAAAGTAACTCATGGGACACATACATGTTACCAGAAAATGTTAGTTGACTTTTCAGGTAATCTGCAGTTTACAAGAACCTTCACATCATTGCCCCCTACTCTGTAAGTTCAGCCCAGAACCACAGCCACCATTTTACAGAGAAGGAAACTGAGTGACAGAAATTGTTAATGGCTTGCCGCATGGCTATTTCCTTCATTCTTTGACACCATCATTATAACCATCCCATCAATTTAAGAATAGGTTTTGAAGTAAAAAGGAAATTTTACTGTATTATATATGCATGTTGCTTATAAGACACCACCCAATGTTTTGAAACATTAAATTATGAGCATTATCAATAATATATCTGGAACCTTCATGGGAGTCACATGTTACCTGTTGTTTTCAGTTGGATCTTGTCAGGTGACTAAGGATTGAATTATAAGAGAGGATTTCTAAGATTCTTCTTCAATGCCGTTGTTCTGGGATACTAATAAAGCTTTAGACAGCTCAAGGGTGTGCAATTAAAAGTTGTTCTTCAGGATGAAGTTCAAGACACTAGCATTTTTTTTTAATTAGAGGGAAAAAATCCTTTAAAATGTTTACACTCACACAAATAGCATATATATATTTAGTTATCAGGTGCAACAATGTTAAACTTGAGTTTTCTTAAGTTCAAAGTTTAGTGCACCTACATACAAAATAAGAAAGCAAGACAAAATAATTAAAGTCATCACCTGGAATTGTGCAGAAATAGTTTACCTCCAATCAAAGTTACTGTGTGTAAAAAGGGGGAAAAAACAACTTTCATTTCAATCTTGGTTGAAACGGTTAAAAAAAAAAACTTTTTCCAACTCTGTAAAGCAAAAGAAATTAGACTCAAGTAACCGAGCTTCCCATCGGATTACTGTGCAAGCCCCCCTTTTATTCCCCCACACAGTGGATAATGCATGCTCATTGTGACTTATCTGGAACTGGTTTCTTTTACATCCTCGGGCTATATAAAGTCAAACTAGGACTGGGGCAGCAGATCTGGGGAGCATCCAGCAGGCAGCCTCCACAGTCCGGAGAGCATGAAACAGTCGGGAACATAAACAACTCCATGTGCCACTGACACTGCCAACGGTATGAGCCCCACTGTTCGCCTCTTAGCGCTAAGAAGAAACAATTAGAAACGACACAACATCGTTGATCTTCCTTGAGAATGTCCCCAGGACTGTGTGTGCCGCTTTGTTCTTCCCTTGATTTTAACCTTTCATTCATGTTTCCGACTTAGAATGATCAAGGCTCAGGCCCTGAAAGGACCAACATTTGACCAGCTTGGTTTGGACACCTGGCAAAGACCAGGTTCTGAGAAGCAACGGTGATGAAGGCCTTTGTCCTGCTGGTCATCTTTGCAGAAGCCTCTGCGAAATCGTGCACGCCAAATAAAGCAGGTATGCCCTCGGCACAGTCCATTTTCCTGGAAGGAAAGTTTCCTGAAGTTTTCTTTTACAAAGCCCAGTGCTCTATGCTTAACTTGTTGTAAAAATACAATAATTTAGCCAAGTAGAAAAGTACTTGAATTCTCCCAATGCCAATCAGACTTTTCCCAAAGGGAGCAAAAATGTATTGGATAAACTTGGACTTTTTTTTTTTTTTAATTAGAGAATCCTTGCTCAATTTCACTCTCTGACTTACTCGCTCTCTCCCTTGTCCCATTTATATATATATGAAACATCTCCCCCTTTTTTTTCCATTTGACTACTGAATTTCTATCCTGTGCCCTAAATCAGTATTTCACAATATTATGCATGAAATTGCCATTTAAAGTGTTTAAGTTATGGGCTCATTTTATGGAGATTTTAATATGTATTTATATATCTCTTATACATTCGATCTGTGGTTTCACAGATATATTCCTTAAAATAAATTTTCAAATGGGCTAATTTTAATTCCGTGTTAAATGCAGTGTAGTCATCAAATAGATGCAGCAAAAACTGTAGGAGTGGCTCTTCAATAACTGAAGTTTGGGGAAAACTTTCATCACAGGTGCTGAAGAATACCAGGGAAGGTGTTTTTCATCAACTGCTTTTGCATGTTCAGGTGTGGCTAGAATCCACTGTTCTATATGTAGACATTAATGTGATTACCATAACTAATTTTAAACTGTATGTGTACTCTGTCCAGATGTCATTCTTGTGTTTTGTTATCCCAAAACCATCATCACCAAGATCCCCGAGTGTCCCTATGGATGGGAAGTTCATCAGCTGGCTCTCGGAGGCCTGTGCTACAATGGGGTCCACGAAGGAGGTTACTACCAATTTGTGATTCCAGATTTATCACCTAAAAACAAGTCCTATTGTGGAACCCAGTCTGAGGTAAGACCACGCCACACAGTGTAGAGTTGCTTAAGGTAAGGCAACTAGACCCAAGAATGAGATGTTTGCCATCCGTCCTTGGAAGTATTCAGAATTTACCAGTTTCCTTTTAAAGGTTAATCCTGATTCCCAAATACCCTGGAATGTTCATGCTATTTAAAATCTTCTCTTCTGCCTAGTTTAGATAACTCTTTTGGCTTGATCCTTATCCTTGTAATTTGTTACCAAAGCCAGCGAAGCTACCTTCTCGTAGAACAAAGTACTTCCCACCTTCAAGTTCTAAGCCTGTGCTCACAGGCTGCCATCCTTCCTGGGTTTGATGAGTGGATGGACGAGCCATTCTCTGCCTGAGACTTCAAAGAGGTGATAAAGAGCATTTAGAAGGGCAGTTTAGGGAGTGACCAATGTGTAACACAATTTCTAACTCGGTCTTGTGCAGTGCCCAGGGTGGGGTATCATAAGGTAATTATTAGGAAACAGACATCCTCTTACCAAGTATCATGTGACAGATGAGAAATCAGACTTTCCAATAAAGTCACTCATTCAGGGTCCCAGTGCCTGTAGGGATGAATCATGAAAGGAGGTTAGGTGCCCAACCCTCCCACCAAGGTCTAGCACTCCTACTACCCTACCTGCCAGAAGGCTGTGCATCTATCCATCTCAGAGGATGAGAGCAAAGAGCTTCCAGGAACAGCTCCTCTTTCTAAAGACTTCACAACGATTCAGTGATTTCTTGGGAAGAGTCATGAGCATGATTAACAAAACATCATGTCTCTGAGTATATCCTGGTGAACTAGAAATCATCTGTGTGGTCTCAGGTGGGTCACTTCTCCAGTAGATGTTCAAGATCCCCTCTAGCTCTAATATTCTGTGATTTTAGAGCCCAAAAAATCAGAGGAAAGAGTCTCAGAAATCACGCTTATAGTCGGAAGAAGGAAAGTGCAAAGAACCAGAAGGGAACATTCTAGAAATTGGAGATGGGCGAAGCATTTATTTAGGATACTTGGACAGGAGAAATGGATGACCAACTCGATCTTGGGAAATAAAGATTCTTGAGCCAGTTCTTTTTGGCCAGAAGCCCAGTGGGCACATAGAGATTTTTAAGCATGCAACATCAACCTAGATTATTTTTAAACATTCTTAGTTGAATAAACTAAGGAAACCTTTACAAAATTATCAGCTCACTCACAAACAAGAAGAGTGGATGCCACTGTCAGTGGAAGACATTCATGTCTCCCCACTAGACTTGTTTCTGAGCCGTCTTCTTCCACTTTTTCCAGAAACTTCATTCCCATCACGGGGACACAGATTCATTCTCACTGTCTCCTTTCTTTGTCCAGTACAAGCCACCTATCTACCACTTCTACAGTCACATCGTTTCCAATGACAGCACAGTGATTGTGAAAAACCAGCCTGTCAACTACTCCTTCTCCTGCACCTACCACTCCACCTACTTGGTGAACCAGGCTGCCTTTGACCAGAGGTAAGTTGTTGTGCAGCATGGAGGGCTGACTGCCTTGTGTGTGTGCTGCAGTCCCTATCAATCAGTGTGTTTCAGTCCTTATGCAAAATTCTCTCCCCTTTTCAGAGTGGCCACTGTTCACGTGAAGAACGGGAGCATGGGCACATTTGAAAGCCAATTGTCTCTCAACTTCTACACTGTAAGTAGTCTCCAGGTTCCCATGACTTCCCTGTGGCCTTTCTAGGAGATGATGGGATGCTTCCTTGGGATTCACTTTCCCCCATGCTCTGTGCAGAGCCCCATTCTTAAATTCAAATTGAACCATAAGCTTCAGTTTAGCATTGAACCTCTTTAAAAACAAAGTATCACAGAAAGTCAGATTCATAGACTGGATAGAAGAGTTGAAAAGTATAAGATAGAACATATAAGACCTACCTTCTGTAAAGCTATAAGACCAATCTTCCTATTTTACAGATGGGAAAATTGAGGCCAGGTCAACAGACAATAAGATAGCCAATATCTGATTCTTAATCAAGTTTAGTTTTCATTACGACCCACTCCAGAGGTTTATATTTAAGATCTAGCCCTTAAAATATTTGGTACAAGGTATTGAGCTTCCTGACTAGAACAGGGCTAAAGAGAAGGATTGGGGTCGGCCTTCGCTCCCTAATTCTTTGGTCTCTGAAGCCTTTCAATTAGTGTTTCCTCCTTGCCTAATTTGGGCAGGCTGCCTATGTTGACATAGAAGTTAAAGGCACACTTTGGTCTCCCTCAAAATAAAGTGCTCCAGAGAAGCTAAATATGCAATGGCCATTTGCCCAGCTGCCCTCCTCTTTAGAAGGGGTGCTTTGTTTCTTCAAACCTGCAGCTTCCATTGAGGACACATGCACACAGAGACACTGTCCCAGCAGGCTAAAGGAAGATGTGGGTAGAAAAACAAACCTTTGCATAGAACATTAGAGCCAGAGGACCTCCTTGGAAGGACATCATGTCCAACCTGTTCACTTCTCAAAGGAGAAAAATCGTACTACCTGTAACTGCATTAACTTTGAACTCTTTAAACTTGCTTAACCTGGGACCTGGAAGCTATTAGGCCTCCTGAACTCAGAAGGTGAGGGCTGAAAGGGATTCTAGAACAACCTAGTCTATTTTACAGATGAGGACCAGAAGCCCAGAGGGAGGAAGGGATTAACCTGAGAGCCCACAGGTAGTTCAGAGCGGTGGCCAGTCTTGAACACAGATCTCCTAGATATGGCCATTTTACTTACTGAGAAGGGAATGAAACTCATTTCAAGGCCCTTTCAAGGCCTTATGTCCAATTCTGTATTCAAAAAGTTGATTCTTTTCATTAAAGAGGGCTTTCCAGATTGTAGAAATTTCAAGATCCCACAAAATCTGCCCCTAGCCACACACCACTGGTGGTTAACTACTAAGAAAAGGAATCCATAAAGCCCTTGACCTATAATCAGGGGGATAAATCCAGCATGAGCCACCAGGGTGATGAAAAGGTGAAGAAACCACTACAGTCACTGATGAAAGCCCTCCGGAGAGGAAAATAGGTTTCCACACACTGTCAGCAGTCTCAGGGGACTCCCTGATGACAGGCTGCCTTTGCTATTGAGTCCCTGTCTGGAAGTGGATAATTGTTATTTTAACCAGATAAAATTATAGATATGATCCCATGAAGGTTTTACAATAGCTGGCAACACAGAGACATCAGGATTGTCAAAAATCATCACTCACCATCAGCCATGTAGAGCTGAGCTTGAGGCATAAACAAAACATCAAGTCTTAGAACTGAAAGGAGTTTCTTTTCTTTAAAAAAAAAAAAAAAAAATTAAGAGACATGTCCTCAGCATCATCCAGGCCATCCTCTGTGCTGGATAGACAGATAACAGGACATTCCCTTTAACAAATATAGAAGTAAGGGTCAAGCCTCCCCTGAGGCCCACCAAGATCCTTCCAGGACAAATGGACCTCAGCAAAGAGGGGACTCTGCTGTCCTAACACGTTGGTACTGATTAATATTCCCACCATGGGCTCAGTTCCCTATGCCTGACCCATGTGGTTGGTATTTTTTTCTCCTCTCCTCTTCCACTTTGAGAGCATTCTTATGTGTTTCTGAAGCAACAACTGCTCCCTGCATATATTTCCATCAAATTACCAGAAAGAGAGCTGTGCCCTAGATAACACAATGGAATCCATGCACTGCTAATTGCTTAGGATTCTGAAAGCTTCAAATGCTGGGCTCTAAAATCACTAGTTCTACTCAGCAGACTTCCTCTTTCTTTTCTCTCCATCCCCCTCCCACTCACTCTGGACAATATCCCATGGTTGGTATTCCTAGTGAAAAGTTATTTTGACCCCCAATGCAAAATAAAGGAAGGTAGTGGGCTTACAGAAATATCCTAGTGCTGTAGTTAGGAAAATGGGTCATCTCAGCAGACCACAAGTTTGAAGCCTTGTTCTATCATTTACTAGCTGTGTGATTTGGGGCAAGTCACTTAAGCTCTCTGGGCTTCTATCTTTGCATTTGTTAAACGGGGATACTAATAGCACTTACCCCAAAGGTTTGTTATAGGATTAAATGAAATAATCTTTAAGAAGCACTTAGCGCAGTACCTGGCACAAGTTAAGTGCCCCAGAAAGTAGCCATTCTCGTCATTGTAGACTTTGGCCCTATTTAAAGTGGAAACTCTGAGGACTTCTGGCATTGTTACCTTTACAAGGCTGAACAGTGATGTCAGTGTGAAGTTATATTGACTTTCATTCCATCAAAACAGTACTGATCATTCCTCTTAGAGAGAGAAAAATGAAAAAGCTTAAGATAGAAAAAAAAAAAATGCAAGCATTAGAGGCCAAAATCATAGACTCCAAGAGTCAGAACAAACCTCGAAGGTAGCGAACCTTGACTTTCCACCCAAAGCCCAAAACCCTTCTATAAGATTGCTGTGGGGCGGCTTCCCCACCTCTTCCAAAGACAATGATACTTGGGCCTTCTCGTTTTAGATCAGCTATCATATCTGACACCCTGAACTCTCGCCCATGTGTCCTGGTTTTGTCTTCTGAAATAATACCATATAATTAGGGGGCTGACAGCCCTTCAAATATCTCCACCTTCTCCAGCCTAAACATTGTGTCACTGCTGGTGCTTCATTCATCACTCTAGTCACTCATCTCTTAATATGATCCAGTTGCTCTGTGCCCCTGTAATAAATAAAGCCCAGAGTTGAAATGTTATATTATAGACTTCGTCAGACCTGTGCAGGCGAGGATGGGTCAGAGGTGACCTTCTAGGTTCTAGAAGACTCTAGGAATGTGTCCTAGGAAAATAACTTTAGGGCAGTTTGGGTTTTTTTTTTTCCACCACTGTCTCACATGGAGCTTATAAGCAAAAGCAACTCCGGGATTTTTCCACATGAACTATTGTTAAGCCAGGTGTACTCATCCTTAACTTGGGACACCAGTTAGTTGTGACTCAAACTTTTGGTAAAGTAGTCCCTTCTTACCCACAGTTTTGCTTTCCATGGTTTCAGTTACCCGTGGTAAACTGTGGTCCAAAAATATTAAATGGAAAATTCTGGAAATAAACAATTCATAAGTTTTAAATTGCACACCTATTCTGAGTAGCGTGATGAAATCTTGCACCACTAGCTCTGTTCCTGAAATGTAAATCATCCCTTTGTCTAGAATATCCACTCCATAGCCATCGATGTTATCAGATCAACAACAAAAAAGGCAGCACTTACCCCATAGGTTTGTTATAGGATTAAATGAAATAATCTTAGGATTATATATAGGGTTTGGTACCATCTGCAGTTTCAGGCATCCACTGGGGATCTTGAAACATATCTCCTATGGATAAAGGGGGGTTACTAGATCTGGAATAGGTTTCTAATTTTCACTTTATAGAGGAAATAGAGGAAAAATTATTCCAAGCATTGCCTGAGCTGTCGGTTGAGAATATAGAGAACCCAATCATGAAGTGTTCTATTTCAGAAATTAAATTAATGATGAGAGCTCTGTTCTTCACTTTGTAACAGAATCAGGCAGATTCTTCCATGAGGAGAAGTGTTATTCCAATATTCTAACATTCTTCTGGCTGGTCCCTGACAGAAAGAGTTGGGAGTAATACCTCTGACACATTTGGGGACTACATCAGGGTCCCCATATGAGTTCCCATATTTGAAAATGGCCCCTTGAAATATGACAAATCTCAGAAAATAACAAGGAACATTAAAAACCACTGTAAATCTGCCCCTTCAACCTGCATATTAAGCCAGTGGATCCCTTATTACTAAGAACATTAATACCCAATTATTGTAGCCATTTAAGTGGTGCAGGGGCTGGCAAATGGGAGGAAATAACTGACTTCTGGGTGACTGGATCAGGAAACCCTTGCTGGGCTTCCCGTCAGTAACATAATGTCAGAGGTGCTGGGAAATGAAACAGATTCTGAATCCTCTCAGCAAAGTGCCTGTGTGTTTGACATTTGAGGGGTAAAGTCCGTTTTATTTTATTTTATGTTGATTTGTTATTTTTATTTTAAGTTCTGGGGTACATGTGCAGGATGTGTAGGTTTGTTACATAGGTAAATGTGTGTCATGGTGGTTTGCTGCACATAGCAACCCAACATCTAGGTATTAAGCCCAGCGTGCATTAGCTATTTTTCCTAATGCTCTCCGTCCCCCACCACCACCCACCAATAGGCCACAGTGTATGATGTTCCCCTCCCTGTGTCCATGTGTTCTCATTATTCAGCTTCCACTTATAAGTGAGAACATGTAGCGTTTGGTTTTCTGTTCCTGCGTTAGTTTGCTGAGGATAATGCCTTCGAGCTCCATCCATGTCTTTGCAAAGGACCAGAAAGACCATTTCACCCAGCAAATTACTGGGTATATACCTATAGAATATAAATCATTCTATTACAAAAACACATGCATGCATATGTTCATTGCAACGCTATTCACAGTAGCAAAGCCATGGAATCAACCCAAATGCCCATCAGTGATAAGGTGGATAAAGAAAATGTGGTACATATACACTGTGGAATACTATAAAGTCCATTTTCACTAGACATCCGTGTTGAAATCCCTTTCTCCTGCCACTGTCTACCTCTTGCAGTTCTGCAAATCTCCAGCTCTATGAAACTCAGTCTTTCAAAGAATAACTTGGTCTAAGCTTTACTTTTCTATTACATAAAGTCACAAAGGTTATGTGCATTTTGCACAGGAAGAAACAGGCCTGAAAGGCTGACTTGCCTATAGTGTGTCCCAAGTTAGCAGTGAGAGCTCGGGTTAGCCCAGGATCTTTGCCCTTCCATGGTAACGCTTTTGTCTCTGGAAGCTAATCCAGAGAGCAGTTCAAGATTGTTCCTAGAGTTGAATGAACTCGAGACTCAGAGCATGGAGAAATCAGCCTCCTTTGAATAAGTCAGACAGAAACACTGCTGTTACTTCTAACAGCTTACCCAGAATGTCTTGATGAGAAAGGCAGGCAAACATCACACGTGCCAGACCAGTGATCAGAACCTGCTGATCAGAGTGATCAGAGTATGAGACCCCGTGTTTATTTTTTCTGAGTTTTTGTTGTTGTTGCTGTTTTTGTTTTGTTTGTTTTTGTTTTGTTTCGTTTTGAAACAGAGTCTGACTCTCTCACCCAGGCTGGAGTACAATGGCCCACTGCAAACTCCACCTCCCGGGTTCAAGAGATCTACCTGCCTTAGCCTCCAGAGTAGCTAGGACTACAGGGCCTACAGGTACCTGCCACTGCACTGGCTAATTTTTGTATTTTTAATGGAGATGGGGTTTCGCCATGTTGGCCAGTCTGATCTCGAACTTGTGGCCTCAAGTGATCTGCCCACCTTGGCCTCCCAAAGTGCTGGGACTACAAGTGTGAGCCACAATGCCTGGCTGGCTCCAGTCTTCTTGATCAGCCCCCATAGCTTCTCTAACCTCACCCCCACTTCGCTCCCCACTCTCCACCCTCCTGCCTCGCTTACTTGCTGCACCCACACTGGCCTCATGGCCACACTCCAACCCCATGGCCTTTGTCCTGACTCAAGCATTCTTCTGTGGGTGGCTGCATGGCCCCCTTCCTCACTGTCTCCAAGGCTTGCTCAAATGTCACATCCTCAGTGAGGCCTCCCCAACCATTGTATTTAAAACTGTAACCTGCTCTTCCTCATACTCCTGATCTTCCTTATCCTGCTCTACATGTTTTATGGCTTTTCCAGATAATGTCCTATGGTCTATGGTAACATACTATATCGTTTCCTTACTTACTGTCTGTCTCCCGTTAGAATGCCAGATCGCTGGAGACAGATATCTTTGCTTCGTTCACTAGCAATATCCTGACATAGAGCCCATCCTAATACATAGAACAGTGCTCAACACACAGCAGTTGATCAATATATTGTGGCTGTGATTGTTATTGTTGCTGACGATTGTACTGGGAATCAAATCCTATACTTCCCAAACCATGCTGAAATCTGCTCAGGCAAAAAGTAGAGACGAGTGAGGGCAGAGGGAGGTGTTGTATGTGCTCAGATCCTGTGTCCTTGGGTGATTCCGTATCACACAGTGCCTCAGTATCTCTCTGAATTTCACTTGTTTTTAATTAGTCAAATCTCACTGGAGTAAATGAGACATACAGTGTGTGTCTCATCATGATGAGCAAATCTAGAAGATAACATGATTATATGATGTCCTCATCCCTTCTAAGATGGCATAGAGTCCTAAGAAATAGAGTTTCTCTGGTCTTGGAGGATCACTCTGTGGCCTCATGTGCTTATGTTTTTGGGTTGATTCTCATCCCCATCCCATCCCAATTCATCTGCTCCTGGCAGACCCAGCTGCTCAATTTGAGAGATCATAATGCCCAGTGTCAATTTCCTTCCAAAGAATGCCAAGTTCTCCACCAAGAAAGAAGCTCCCTTTGTCCTGGAGACATCCGAAATCGGTTCAGATCTGTTTGCAGGAGTAGAAGCCAAAGGGTTAAGCATCAGGTAAGTACATTTCCTCCATGTGTGTATGTTTAAATGCAGAGACACAAAAAAAAGACTAGCTAACACACTTCTTAATCATCAGATGTTTCGAGGCATAAGATCCTGTTTCAAAGTGATGACATTTTGTTTTATTTCCAGGTTTAAAGTGGTGTTGAACAGCTGCTGGGCCACTCCCTCTGCTGACTTCATGTATCCCTTGCAGTGGCAGCTGATCAACAAGGGGTAGGTACACTATCCAGAGACAGGGCTGAGCAGTGGAGTTGGGCATTTAGTGGGCTACTTTGCCCTGACTTGGGAAAGCTTGGAAGAAAGAGGTGAAGCCTGCTGGGGTTACATCAGCGACATCCTCTGTGGTTCCAGGCAAAGGACAAATACTAAGAAACATTACATAGTGCATTCTAGGAACCAGATACCGTTCTGAGAGTTTTACCCTATATTAACTCCTTTAAGCCTTACAACAAGGAAGGTAGTGTTACTATCATCCCCATTTTACAGATGAGGATACTGAGGCCCACGAGAGGGTAAGGTCTCATAGTAAATGTGTGTGTGCATGCATGCGTGAATGTGTGTGCATGTGTGTATGTGTGAAAAGGGAAGTGAGCAGGCTGAATTCAAATCCAGTTAGTCTGACAACAGAGCCATCGTAATGATGACTAAATTAAATAATCCATATCAAAAGCTTAACAGATGGTACCTGCTAGATAGTCCAATCATTTTAAATAAGATCATTGCTTTTGTTACTAATTAAGTGGTAACCAGGAGCTTTTAAAATTTGGAGCAAAGCACTGAAGTAGTACTAGAAGCACACCCTAGAAAAGCAATTCTGGAAGTCACACACAGGATGATTTAGAAACATGCATGGAAGGTAGAAAGACCAGATCAGAGACCCTGGCAGCTTTGTGCAAGGGTGATAAGACATGTGCCAAGTGAATGGAAAAAGGTAATAAAAAGGAGGGAAAAGCTTCTAGAGAAATGAGAAAATTTAGGAACAAATCAGATAGGAGGTAGAGGAATGGACAGCACAAGAAATCTGGGGAATAGGGGACAAAGATGGCTTTGTGTTCTTAAATCTGTGGTCTACGAAGCTGATGGAGAGTGTATTTGGCTGTTGGAGAAGGAGGCTTTTGGATGAGGAAATATGGATCCTAGCTGAGTTTACTAATGGACTTGTTAAGCATCAAATGATGATTGTCCAGAAGTACTTAGAATTGTACCTTTGGAAATCAGTGGAGAGGTAGAGCTAGATAAGAGACATGGACATCATCTCCATAATTAGCAGTAAACAAAGAAGAGATCGTTCTCTAAACAAAGTACCTAACAGACCAATGAGCCTGTGTTATCCTCAGAACCCATCAGGCCAAGAAAAAATTAATCCCAAGGATAAAGATAATTAGATAACAAAAGTGGAGCTACTCTGGACTTTTATTTTTATTTAACAAACACTTACACAGCTCGTACAACATACCAAACATTGTTCTAGATAGGTGTTTTACAAACATTAATTTATTTACATGTCATTAAACCCTCTATAACATAGATAGTATAATAATCATTATTTTATAGATGAGGAAACTGAGGCACAGACAGATCCAAAAACTTGCAGCTATGGAGCTAGTAAGGAGAAGATGTGGGATTCAGACTCAGTCCGTGTTGCCTCCTGAGTGACCTGCACAGGACAGGCTGGCCAAAGCACACCTACTCAGCCCAGCAAAGCCTCCTGCAGAGATGACAGCTTAATCTGAGTGTTTACTTCACATCTGTCATTGAATGATTCCCTTTATTTAGCCTCTGTTAGCAATGGTGCAATCAAATGACTTCAGGAATTCTGAAATAACTTATTGACCTATAGGGACCTGAAACTGCTATCTGGCACTGGGAACCTCCCTCAGGCAATGGTCACACCAGGCAAAGGCTTCTGCCGCCCCGGCATCATCTCCCTGCAGGGAGGTCTGGTGCTGTTGTTCCCATCCAGCAGATATACGATGTGGCCGAAAAAGGGATGCCTGTGGCTTTGGGTGGTCTGCACAATTTCCTCAAGCTCTAGTGTACATGCAAACTGCCTAGACTGCCTATTACATATGTAGGTGCACTGCAAACCTGCCAGGTCAGAAGGACTCTGCGGAAACCCAGGGAATCTGCATTTCAACACAGCCAGATGTAAGACATCCTGATACATTTCTATATTCTTCCTTGTTGACATGGCATCTCGAGGTTGGAGATACATGCACAAAGATCAGTGCCAAAGGGGAGAATGGAAAATTCCACTCCCACAATCTCCAGGTAATGTTTGCACACACTGGGACCCTCTGAAAAACCCAGCTTACAAAAGTGCCAGGAGAGATGACAGGAGAGGCGACGGGAGATATGCACGTAGATGCCCCTAAAGCAGCATTCTTATCTCAAAGAGCAATCCCACGTGGGAAAGGAGGCTCCTGCAGAGGGGGCATAAAAGCTTCCTGTGGGCTTCCACCATCTGGATGCAGCTGCCACTCAAGTGGGGGTGCTGCAGCTGGTGCCAAGAAGCAGCAGTGCCAAGGCATCTAGACCTGCCCATGTTTTGCCTCCTCCCCACCCCCTGACAAAGCTCTGCTTACATTATTTTCCACAGGCTGACACCAGGCCTGAGGCACTCTGGCTGCAAAGAGCTATTTTAAGAACTCCCATCTGGAGTTCATACAAGGCTCTCGAGTTTATTGACCAAATGATCCTACAGGAGTCTTGTTTCACAACTTGGAAAATGCCACAGTTTCCTCACTGTTCAGAGCCCACCACCCACAGAACTGGCTCTGACCCCTTGTCCAGATACAAAGGCACAGCCTTCCCTCACTTCACTCTCTCACTCTCACACTTGACTTCCTTAGCTCCTACCGTTAGCTGAGCCCCCCACTGTCTGTTTCTGAGGGAATGGGGGGGAGGATAGAGAACATCATGGAGGTTCCCTGGGGTAACTGGATCACTAGCTGGCACGAGTGCTGAGTTTACAGTACAGGAAGAGAGATGCCTCAGAGTAGCATTAATCTGGGGCCTGCTGGGGTGCTGTTCAGGGGTCTGAAGGTTTTGAAACATAGACCTTTTCCCACAGAGGGACAGACCCTGATACACTTTGTTACCTGCAGATAACAAACCCCTACGATAGTTCTCTCTGTATAGTCCCAAGAATGACTGTGTCTGCTTCTAACACCTAGTTCAAGGAATGGCACTGAGGTAATCAGTCTTTGTTCAGTGAAAAAGTATGTTTGCTGAAACCAGGGTTTCTCAATGTTGACACCTTGACATGTGGGGTGGGACCATTCTCCACTGTGGGGGTTGTGCTGTGCACTGCAGGGTGTTCAGCAACAGCCCCGGTCTCTGCCCACTCACTAGAGGCCAGTACACTTCCCCAATCTGGATGACCAGTGCCAAATGTCCCCTGGGGAACAAAGTGGACCCCCAAGTGAGAATCACTAGCTTAGATAAATGACCATCTGTGTCTTTTTTTCTTTTTGAGATGGAATCTCACTCTGTCTCCCAGGCTGGAGTGCAGTGGTGTGATCTCCCCTCACTGCAACCTCTGCCTCTGGGATTTAAGCAATTCTCCTGCCTCAGTCTCTTGAGTAGCTGGGATTACAGGCACATGCCACCACGCCCAACTCATTTTTGTATTTTTGGTAGAGACAGGGTTTCACCATGTTGGTCAGGCTAGTCTCGAACTCCTGACCTCATGATCCGTCTGCCTCCCAAAGTGCTGAGATTACAGACATGAGCCACCGCGCCTGGCCCAGTGTCATTTTTTTAACTGAATTATTACCTTCGAGACTTTGGAATTTTATACAAATATTGTATTCTCATTATAGAGAATTTGGAAAAATACATAAAAATTAAAAGAAAAAACAAAAATGCCCATAATTTTGCCACTTTGTATCAGCCAGTGTTAATATTTAGACTGTATCCTTCAGTCAGTTTTTTTCTGCGCTTATATTAGAAGTGTGGCCACGTTTTTTACAAAGGTAACTATGTAGATACATATAATTTAAGTAATATTTCTTTCTTTCTTTTTTTTTTTTTTTTTTTTTTGAGACAGAGTCTCACTCTGTTGCCAGGCCCCAGGCTGGAGTGCAGTGGCACAATCTTGGCTCATTGCAACCTCCGCCTCCTGGGTTCAAGCAATTCTTCTGCCTCAGCCTCCCAAGTAGCTGGGACTACAGGCGCACACCACCATACCCAGCTAATTTTTTTATTTTTAGTAGAGACCAGGTTTCACCATGTTGGCCAGGATGGTCTCGATCTCTTGACCTCATGATCCGCCCGCCTCAGCCTCCCAAAGTGCTGGGATTACAGGCTTGAGCCACCACGCCCGGCCACAATAATATTTCTTAAATACAAATTTCGGATGGCAAAACCTCATAATACACACACAGAAATGTGTTGGGTGTGTCTTGAGCTTAGGCAGCTGTGGCAACATTGGCAATGCTGCTCTGGGTGCCATGGCCCCTACCTTGCATGTCCCTCAAGCGCTGGACATATCCCAGTCCTCGGAGGGCTTTCTCTCCTAGGGAGTGTCTTTCTCTGGGACAGAGGTGCAACTTACTAAAAATGTGGCTCCTTACAAGTTGCTCCCCTCCCACTGTACCTTGTCTGTAGAATGGGGACAGTCATACCCATCTCCTAGCTCATCAACCTGACCTCACAGTTGTGAGGGTCAAGTGAGGTGCTGCTAATCCAAATGCCTGGGGAGGTTATAGCAACCTCGGGGAGCCTTGTATGTAAATTGCTCAGCAGCTTTTACTGGAGTTCAAGGAGGTGACAGCTCACTCTTCTTTCCCCATCTGCCTCAGCTGCCCCACGGATGAAACCGTCCTCGTGCATGAGAATGGGAAAGATCACAGGGCAACCTTCCAATTTAATGCTTTCCGGTTCCAGAACATCCCCAAACTCTCCAAGGTGTGGTTACACTGTGAGACGTTCATCTGCGACAGCGAGAAACTCTCCTGCCCAGTGGTGAGCCGCCTCTCTCCAGAAGGACGATGTTACTCAAAGGGCCCCGGTATTGGAGGCACTGTAGTTTGAGTGGGGAAATTAACCAGGCCAGTGCAGCTGCGTGCTGAGAGCATCTGGAGGAGATGGCAGTGGGTATAAGGGCAGACACTTGTTGGGAAAGACACTACGGGTCCTATCCGCCCTGCCCCCACAAGTGTCATCTAAGCTGCTGGGACCTGCTTTTCTCGTCCTTAAGCAGGGTGTAATAAGTAATGATGTCCCTTCCCTTATCAAAGAGCAGTGTAGGTAAATGAAAGTGATCACAGACATGGAAACACTTTGAAGAAGTGAAAAGGGCAAGGGAAATTCAAGGTCTAAGTGGCAGGGACAGGCTGTGAACATAACTCAAAAGGTTGGTGTTTTTAGTCTTGACTGAACAGCCTGAGGGTTCACCTCTGTGACTTCAGAGAGCTGCGGCAGAAATTCCCAACACTGGGCTGTGGCTGATATGATCGTGTGAGAGGAAGGCCTGGAAGGCTGTGCTTTAACAAGCCATCAGTAAAGCTGATGCTCACTCAAGCTGAATCTTAAACTTAGATGCACCGAATCTCAAACTGTTCTCCTTTCTGGTCTCTTTCAACTGGAGACCTCAGTGTTTCCAAAGAGGCTGCTACCTACATAGCCCATAGTAACCAACAAAAATAAGGTCATCATCTCCATGACTATTGATTCATTTGGCCAGAAAATGGTTCTTTATGAGCCCAAATAGAAAAACGAAAAAAACCCAGAGAGTGCAGAGCCAGGGAGAGGAGGGGAGAGACACTGTACAGTTGATCAAAGGATGAGTATTGATGCCACATGTTGAAAAAGAAAATGAACCAGAATACATTTCCAAGTGTCCAAGTCTCTAATTACTGTGCTGAGAGTGATAGTAAGTAAAAGCCTTATCAAAGGAAACCAAGTCAATCCCTTCCACACTCAACGACCTCTTCCAGCAGGATTCCCTCTGGCTCGAAGAGTTAACAAAGTAAACCTTTCTTTTTGTATTCAAGTTGGAGAAGGGATAAAACAGTGTGTCTCTGGGTTATTTTTTTTAAAGGTAGCTAATATCTGTTGATTGTGGAATTTTGATTCCATCCCATTTGTGACCTTTTAAACATCTCTTTCCTTTCTCTTTTCTCCCCTTTGCTCACTCGTCATCCCACATTCCCCGCTCCTCTTCCTCTGCCTCTCTGGGTCATCAGACCTGCGATAAGCGGCAGCGCCTCCTGCGAGACCAGACCGGGGGAGTCCTGGTGGTGGAGCTCTCCCTGCGGAGTAAGCGTCTCTGTTTCCCAAATAGTTGAGTTCACTCTAGGCTGCGTCCACAGGCACAGCTGGTTTGAGCATTTTCACTGAATTGCCAAACCAGTTGTGCCTGTGGGCACAACCTTCACCTGCTCCTGGAGTCTTCCAGCCGGGAGTGGGAACAGCACAAGCCAAATGAAGGAGTTGAGGTTTGTTATTTACTTTACAATTTTTATCTGCACCCTAAATTCAAATACCCACGAGGAATGAGAAAGTGCTGAGCTTCCAAACAGAACTTGCGGTGAACAATAATAATAGAAAATGAGATGTCATGGGGCTGGGTGTGGTGGCTCAAGCCTATAATCCCAGCACTTTGGGAGGCCTAGGTGGGCAGATCACTTGAGGTCAAGAGTTCGAGACCTGCCTGACCAACATGGGAAACACCGTCTCTACTAAAAATATATAATTATCCTGGCTTGGTGGGATACGCCTGTAATCCCAGCTACTGGGGAGGCCAAGACAGGAGAATCACTGGAACCTGGGAGGTGGAGGTTGCAGTGAGCCAAGATCACATATTGTACTCCAGCCTGGGCAACAAGAGCAAAACTCCATCGAAAGAAAAGAAAAGAAGAGAAGAAAGAAGGAAGAAGAGAGAGGAAAGAAAGAAAAGAAAGAAAGAAAGAAAGAAAGAAAGAAAGAAAGAAAGAAAGAAAGAAAGAAAGAAAGAAAGAGAAAGAGAAAGAAGAAAAAAAGAAAGAAATAGAGAAAGAGAGAGAGGGAGGGAGGAAGGAAGGAAGGAAGGAAATTAGATGTCATGAGAATATCATGTGCAAATCAAAAAACCTTTACTGAGTATTCATCACTGTCTGGCCTGGGCAGGGCACTAGGAATAAGTGTGAGCCACGCAGGCCCTGTCCTCACGGGAATTACTGTCTAGCAAGGAGAGAGATGTTAAGACAGTAAGGGAAAGGAAAATTACTGTGAAGCAGGGTGACAGTGGGCTGGTGCCACGGGAGTATAGTTGATCATCACTAATGTGAAAACCCAAAGCCTGTGGGAAGGCGGGAAGCTAGAGCGTCTCTATCTTAGAGGACACTCACCAAGCTATGGCCAAGGGCCAAGGCCCCAGTGACTCCTGGTTTTATGGTCTGCAAAATAAGAACAGTTTTCACATTTTTATGTGGTTCAAGAAAAGAATCAAAACAATATTCATGACACATAAAAATTATATGAAATTCAGGGCCAGGTGCAGTGGCTCACGCCTTTAATCCCAGAACTTTGGGAGGTCGAGGTAAGTGGATCTCCTGAGATCAGGAGTTCAAGACTAGCCTGGCCAACACGGTGAAACCCCGTCCTTACTAAAAATACAAAAGGTAGCCAGGAGTGGTGGTGCGAACCTGTAGTCCCAGCTACTGGAGAGGCTGAGGCCAGAGAATTGCTTGAACCTGGGAGGTGGAGGTTGCAGTGAGCTGAGATCACACCACTACACTCCAGCCTGGGCAACAAGAATGAAACTCCATCTCAAAAAAAAAAGTATATAAAATTCAAATTTCAGTGCCTTTAAAGAAAGTTTTATTAGAACACAGCAACACTCATTCATGAAGATATTGTCTACAGCTGCGCACTGCAACTACAGGGTAGATTGGTGGCAGCAGAGATGGGATGGCCTGCAAAGCTGATAATATTTACTATCTGGTTCTTTCCAGAAAGCTTACCAACCCCTGCCTTGGAGAGAAAGTGTTGTGAGATGAAACTTTGTAAACTCCCAGTATAAACTGTCTGAAAGGCAATGGGGCACCTGATGGTTTAATCAGGGGAGGGTTATGGTTAGGTTTTGCGTTTTGATTGATTGATTGATTGATTGAGACAGAGTTTCAGTCTGTCACCCAGGTTGGAGTACAACGGCATGATCTCAGCTTCAAAGAAGTCTCTTGACTCAGCCTACCAATTAGCTGGGATTACAGGCACGTGCCACCACACCCCATTCATTTTTGTATTTTTGGTAGAGACAGAGTTTCACCATGTTGGCCAGGCTGGTATCAAACTCCCAACCTCAAGTGATTCACCCACCTCGGCCTCCCAAAGTGCTGGGATTACAAAGTGCTCAGCCTCCCAAAGTGCTGGTGGTCGGGTGAGCCACCACACCCAACCAGGGTTTGTGTTTTAGAAACATCACTCTGAGACGTTTCCTTTCCACGATCTTTTCTTAAACTTTCTCCGTTCTCTCTCTTTCCTCACTACAGGCAAGGGATTTTCCAGTCTCTATAGCTTCTCAGGTAAGGAAAAGAGACACTTCTGAGATTTTGTGGGACTGTGCTGCTAAAAGGCAGAGAGTGTTTTAAATGAAGCCTAACTTTGGCCCCAGCAAAATTTTTAAGGATTGAAAATTATACTTTAAAGCACACCTGAGTGGGGCAGACGGGGCGCGATCAAGAGGTCTCCCTCTGACCAGCCCCTGAACTCAGAAGAGAGGGAGAAACGGAAGGTAAATTGGACGAAGCAGAACTGGACCTCACTTCCGCTAGTCTCAGTAAAGCCATCACCAGATGGCTTCCCTTGGATTCTAACATTTGGAGAACAAGATTTTCAGTGATCTGTTCATTCAACAAATATTTGAATTCTTATTATGGTTCTGTCTCTCATTACCTGAGTGACCTTGGCCAATGACCTCACCCCTCCATACCCCAGTTCCCTCTGTGAAATTGGGCTAATGATTGTCCCTATCTACACGGCAAATGTGTTTGCAAATGCAAACTCAGCCAATGAAATTACACAGTAGCACATCTTGGTAACTGGCCACCCCAGTGATCCAGATTTACGTTGTCGACAAAATAAAATGCATAGATATTTAATTTCAACTAAGGGCACTGAACGATGTCCAGCAAACACCCAGTCAGCGTGAGCCATGATTATGATGACTGTACCAGGAAGTGGTCTTGTGGGTACTGCCATGAGCAAGACAGACAAGGCTCCTTAATACGTGTAAAGTATTGGGAGCGATCGGAGATGTGATTTAGAGAGTAGCCAGGGAATCCCCTTAGAGGAAGAAACATTTCAGCTAAGACCCAAGATCTCACCTGAATGATGAGAAGGAAGCAACTACACAAGGAAATGGGGTAAGACAGTTCAATTTATTAATAATCTCGCAGACATAGATTTTGCTCTCATCATTACAGGAAAATCGTGCAAATCAACTTTTAAAACGCCGATCCCAGATTCTCACCTTTTTTAAGTTCTACAGTGAAAGCCCTACAGTGCAATGCACCATCACTGTATTATGAAAGTTCTTATTTCTATCTGTTGGAGGTTTACCGCCTAGGTTATCTGTCAGGTTCTTTATGCTGATAAACGTGAGCTACAGAATCCCCAAGGGATCAACAAAATTGACTTTGTCTAAAATGTGTGGAATTTTATGAAGACCCCTGAGTTGATCCTGTTGCGTTAACTCTTTTGCTGAGTTGGCTTTACCCTTGTAGAACTGTCTCTGAGTGCCATCTCCCTCCCCTTCTGGTCCACAGTTGTTCTGCACCACCTCATCGTGATGTTGGGGATTTGTGCTGTGTTATAGGAGTTAGCCGGGCAGCTCCACTCCTCCACCCACAAACATCCTCAGCGAATGACAAACACGTTTCTTGTGCTGCCAAAAGAACAAACAGAAGAGCAGAGAATAGCACTTTGCCAAATATGCGTTCCAATCATTTCTGTGAATTCGGTGATGGTTTTCTCTTCCTAAGGAAAACTGAGACCACTTCCTGTGGCCCTTAGCTCCCACAGTCCTTCTAAAGCTGGGGAGGAGCCTCCTTTCTCTATACTCAAGTCAGGGTTGCAGTGAATTCCTTTGAAAGCTATTTTAACTTTAAAAGGTTAGCAGATCCAGCCAAGTACTGCTGAGCATTTTGAAGAGAATGTAGGGTGCAACTACAAAGTCAATGCTAAATATAGAACGCACATTAATAGCCGACTTTGCCTCCAAAGGGGCTTTGTCATTGAGGCAGTATCATTCTACCTAAGGACCAGAGCTGAGTCCCCCGGCAGGGGGTTCCAGCCTTTTGATTGATGACGTGGGAGATGACATGGGAATCGGTGAAATACATTAGCTTTGCTCAAACCTAATGATAAAAAGGAAATGGATTCTTGAAAGCCCCTAGTACTGACCTAATGTGTTTCTATTATACAGTTTGTTAAATACAGAAGTATAATATAGGTATAAACTCCTTGTTTTTATAGCTGATATGTACTTCTAAAGTCAGAAGGAAATCACAAATTAAATAGGAATATTTGCAAAAAGAATAACCACAAGAAGAATACGACTCACATTAATTTAACCTAATAATGTGGCATTGCCCCAGTGAAACTGCTGCTGGAAACATGACCATGAAGTGACTTCCTATGACACAGGTGCTATGAGTTTGGTGACCCAGTCCTACAAATAAATGCCTTGTGACGCTCAATGCTCACTATTTTTTCTCTGTTTGCTTTACTACAAAGTTTCCATTTATAAGAAATGGTCTGACCTCATTTAGCTTTTACTTAAACATGGAAGCTGACATCTGCGTTTGTCTCTTTCACTTATGATCATTGGAATGAAGCCCACACACAATCAGAAACGCAAATGCAAAAACAGCCAATGAAACTATGCAGCAGCACATATTGGTAACTGGCCACCTCAGTGATCCAGAATATGCCCATATAAATGATTTACATTGTCAGCAAAATTAAAACTGTATCAACCAATTCTGGTAGAGAATGGGCTGGATTGTGATCAGAAAAGGCAGAGTTCTAAGTTCTTTTCTTAGTTATGTAAAGAGTTAATTTAGTGAGCTTATGATTTGAAAACAACACATCGGTTTGTCTCTCAGTATTTAATATATTTGAGAAGTTTTGCCATCTGCAGTTTGATGATTCTTTTACAACTTGTTTTAGTGAACTCAGAAATTAAACTAGTTATGAAATCTCCGGATACATGAAGTGTATGTTCGTTTAGCAATAGGCTACGGTAAAAGGACTCAATATAGTCTAGACTTGGTCTCTAAGCTGGAGTTCCAACCAGTTTAGAATCTCTTCTTTCTGTAAATTTAGAGTTTTTGTAGTCAGGAGAAACAGAAGATACATTTTATTGGTTCTAGTAGAAAACTCTTAAATAGCATATGCATAGCCATATTCAAATCCTTGGCTGTCAGAATAAACCAATGTGGTATTAGTTTTGCTGTATTTTATCATGGTGTTTTATGATCTTGTACATCTACCTGGTGCTGTGGAATAAATAAAATGCCTTCAAATAAATAACCTATGACCACAGTTTACAGTGTTAATACATCATGTTGATAGCCAATTCCTCAATTCTCCCAGGGCTCTCTATAGCTTGAGCGTCTCAGACTTGCATATATGCCACAGACTTTTAATAATTCTATCCTACATCTACATGTGAAAATCTCCAGTACTGGGTTTCTGGTGCAAGGAGGTAAAGCCAGTCTGTATGATTAACCTTTTGAGGAAAAGGACTCTTGGGTCAGCCCTGACTATAAAGCCCTCATGTCTCTCAACAGCGACTGGATGTGTTTCGACTTGTCTAACAGCCTCATGATGTTTCATTACCCTTCTTGTATCATAACTTCTCCTTTGAGAAAATAAGAGAAAGTACTCACAGAACAATCTCTTGTAAATTTTCATTAGTTCTAAACATAATAGGAACATTAAGAAAAAGAAGAAATGTCATTCTATCCTAGGTATCCTTAGTTGATATAGAAAAAGTACTGAATATAGATTAAGGAAAGTGCTTTTATCAAAATTCTTAGTTGTGATCCATAAAGACATGCTCCCTCCCTCTCTCTCTCTCTCTCTCTCACCAGGTACATGTGTGTGTGTGTGTGTGTGTGTGTGTGTATGGGGGTGTGCACATATATGTATATATGTGCATGTATGTGCACGTGGATGTCTGTGTATGCGCACATGTGTGTGTATGTTTTTGGATGTATGTGTGTCTAGAGGCCAAATGTTTATGTTATCATGTTCAATGAGAGAGGCAGAACAAATAAATCTGTTGAACATAACTTATGTAAGCACATGGGCTAAGGCTGGAAGAAAAACATACACACACACACACACACACACACACATTACAAATACATGATAATAATAGACAACTGCCTTATCTGGCTCCATTCCTTCATCTGTGTATTATTTTCTAATGTTCTTTTAATGTCACAGTAACGAATCGCTTAGTTACTGCTATGATTTTGTATATAGCTCTATTAGTCCTTAATACTGCTTTGCTAATATTTATGCTTTCTTCTCCCTGACTAGACTGCAAGCTAAAGATCAAGGGAAAGTTCATATTCTCTTGTGTACCCCAGAGTGGCACAGAGGAAGTGCTTAATAAATGCACTCCTTGGATTAAAGGAATGTTCATGTGAATAGATGAATGGCTGGATGGAAGAATGGATGGACAGATGGATGGACGGATGGATGGACAGACGGACGGACGAACGGATGGATGGATGGATGGATGGATGGACAGACGGACAGACGGACGGACAGACGGACGGACGGACGGACGGACGGACGGATGGATGGATGGACAGACGGACAGACGGACGGACAGATGGACGGACGGATGGATGGAGGGACGGATGGACGGATGGACGGACGGATGGACAGATGGATGGATGGATGGATGGAGACTACCCCAGCTCCCTAGGAGGCCTCATAGTAGAGGTGGCCTTGTTTTCCTTCATGGTTGAACAAGGTGTTTGGGATCCAGAGCCATTATTTCAAACAAGAAAAGAAGTTATGGGGAATGAGAAGATAAATTTGGCCTACTATCTCCATGTTAAAGTAGCAGAAGAAAGCTTTCCCCTCCTCTTCACATAAATGCCTTCTACCTCCTCTCCTTCTAAGCATCGGTCTAAAGCCTTTGGTCCTCCTCAGTGCTGAAGGCCTCTGGGGAGGAGTGAAGCCTACCACAATGAAAACAGAATTGTCATATAGAAAACGGAGCCTGTGGTAGATGTAGAATTCAGTCATCCCTCTCTAGGCAGAAGAAAATACTGCTACTGGAAATGCTTAGGAGCTCAATGAAGACTGGATTATTTGGGAGTGGAAATGCTTTTGTGTCCCTCTTCCTAAAGAAAGGCAAGAATTCCACCAAACCTTTTATATAATTTGTGTCAAAAGCCTTCAATAAAACAAAAAGTAGTTTATTTCCCATACAGGTCTCAAAATTATCTCCACAAAGGCAGCTCAGAGGCTTGGCAAGAAAGAAGCAATTCCCGGTCTCATTTGTTTTCGCTCCTATGACCATGGGAAGTTCAACAGGAAAAGGTCTCAAACATATTATTTCATTCAAATGGCTCTGCCAGATTCAGTAGCAGCCACACGAAAGATATCTGGATGTGAGGTGTTACAAGAGATTAAGAAAGAAGTACTATAAATGCATTAGTGGTTCAGTAAATCTATTAAAAGATCCACTCAAACAACATGGAATCCTATTCATTATGTAGAAGGGAAAACCATCATAACCAGAATGGATGGGTTCATCTTTGTCTACTGGAACTTTTTTAAAATTAAACTCTTCACAAATGACTGAGAAATTCTATTTAAAATTCAGGGCTTGCCTGCCGGAGTTTTTGCTCAGTGAGCAGGAAAGAAATTAGGCCATACATTGGGAAGAGGACGTTATGCATTTGGGAGCTGCCTGGCTCACAGTAACTCAGGGCTCAGAACCAGGCTTTCCCATAACTGCAGAGGGCCTAGCTGCTTGCAATAGCAATAGCCTCCGCCCTGTTGGATTTCAGAGGCTGTTCATGCCTTTAGAGCATTTTCTCCCAGAACACATTCTCAGATAGGGGCTCCTATCTCCTTGCAGGCTGATTAGCTGATAAGGAAAATAAGCACCAAAGGTTTAGAGAGCAGGCACCTTGCACAGGAAAGACAGGCTCATCCTCTCCACTTTCCCCTCCTGCAGAATGAAACTGGGGGTCACTACAAATTCATGAGTTAATGGGCTGTAAATACCTGGCAGCTAGGGCAGTCGCACAGGGCTGGGAGCCACAGGCTACAGGAAATGAGTTCACCGTCTTCAGCTCCTCCAAGTCTGCATTTGCTGGAGGCACAGGCTGGGAGCAAACACAGGGGTTGGAAGAGGAGGCTGGCTAGACGGCTCCCCCTAGTGGGAGACTCTTTCAATGCCCCGGAAACACCCCTCTTAAATGGGATACTGACTGCGTCCCAAAGAAGGGTCGGCAAAGACTTTCCTGTGACTCCACAAACATCTTGAAAGAAAATAGTCACCTCACAATATCTCTGGGACTTTGGCTTCTTCCTCAGCAAATTCGGGGAGTGGGAGAGTGAAGCCTTCTTTACCTTTTAACCAGAAAGCTGTTTTCTCTCCTTTGCCCTGTGGGAGACGGAAGGCGGCCCTGGGGCATCACTGGCAGGGTTGGGTGGGGCTGGAGGGCTGCCTGCAATGCAGGGCCTCTGGGCACACGTCTGAGGTCTGGCTGGCTGGCTGGGACTTTGGGCTTTGCTGATAAGCCTGTATGGACAGGCAGCAATATCCTAGGGGGTGGCAGTCCATGGAGACTAAAGCTTGTTGCAAAGAAAATCTTTTAAAAATAATAATAAGGCGAGGTGCTATATCTGACGTCTATAATCCCAGCACTTTGGGAGGCCAAGGCAGGCGGATCACCTGAGGTGACCAACATGGTGAAACTCTGTCTCTACTAAAAATTCCAAAAATTAGCTGGGCAGGGTGGTGGGCACCTGTAATCCCAGCCACTCGGGAGGCTGAGGCAGAGAATTGCTTGAACCCAGGAGGTGGAGGTTGCAGTGAGTCGAAATGGCAGCACTGTGCTGGGCAATGATATCAAAACTCTGTCTCAATAATAATAATAAAAGCTATTGCACCCAGTATGAGTGGGGCACCCAGCGAAGCACCTCACATACCTGTCCACATTTACTCCTCACATCCACCCTTCAAGGACGGTATTATCACCACCCCCATTTTGCAGATGACAAAAACAAGCCCTCAAACTCAGGCAGCAGGTCAGTAGCAAGAATGAGGTCCAAGCTATGTTTAAATGCTGCCTTCTAGGAAAGTCTTCCTGTTACTGAAGTCAGTTGATTGAATACAGAATGCCAAGGCCAGGCTAAGCAAAACTGGGGAGTTGATGCCACTGCCTTCCCTTCGACTTCTTTATCTGGACTGGGGCATTCAAGAGGACACTAGGGGACCATTCGTTACAAAAAAAAAAAAAAAAAAGAAAGAAAGAAAGAAAAAGAAAAAGAAAAAGAAAAGCATCACTTAAAGGGTTGGTTTAGGTGGGAGTTCAGATGCTCTCTGTTGAAGATTCCACATTTGCTCATTCGAGGGAACTTCTTCCTTCAGAGAAGGAAGAAGATCTGGCAGTCATGAGCGCCTCCAGAGAAACCTTAGGGGTCTCCATGGATCACTCCATGGAGATGCTTCCATCCCACTAAGTTCCTCGTCATCTCTATCAGAGACCCAAACAGGGCAGGTGGGGCAGAGTTGACCTGGTCTCACCTTGACCAGAATGGTGCCTCTTTTTGACAAGCTGTACCCTCCCCATGCTTGCAGTGCTCTGAGAGCCGTGAATCCGGAGAGCTGCCATAAACCAGTCACTGCTTAGTTACCAGCTTGTCAATGGAGTGTTAGTGGGGTAGGGGCTGCTTTGGAGAGGGAAGCTACATGGCTCGAATTCTCTGATCACCAGGACTTTTCATTAAGCAAATTACAGACAACTTCTCCGAAGTCTGAAACTCTGAGACTGGAATTCTCAACCATTCTGGCATTGCTCCGACACTGCTGAGTCCTGCTCAAAACCTTAGTATGTTCAGAAGGGAACAGAAGGCAGAACTTATTTAGCATACAAGGTAATCACCATGGAGGGTGGTTTACTGGCTCCTTAGCTAGGACATTATACTGAAAACGGTGTTTGTAACCGGAAGTCCAATTAGAATCAGATCTAGATCCTTTATAAGCAGTTCTACCTTCAAAGTTTGTCCTAAAAACATGTACTTACAAGCTAAGAGAGAGGTTTAAAATTCTTGTTTGAAGGCCAGATGTGATGGCTCATGCCTGTAATCCCAACACTTTGGGAGGCTGAGGCAGGCAGATCACCTGAGGTCAGGGGTTCAGGACTAGCCTGGCCAACATGGTGAAACCCAGACTCTACTAAAAATACAAAAATTAGCTGGGCATGGTGGTGGGTGCGTGTAATCCCAGCTACTGGGGAGGGTGAGGCAAGAGAATCACTTAACTTGGAAGG